CAGAAATCGTCGATTTCTACATTTATTTTTTACTGGAAAATACATAACGGTAAATCTAAAATAATAGCCAAAAGTTGAAGTTCTTGTGATGCTTGACGTTCATTAACAAATGATCAACAGTTTTTACAATTTATTACTTGTTACTATTTTTTTTTCAGAAAAATGGCCTTTCTGACGAGCTGGCCAGCGACTAAGGACTAATCAACCCATATTGGGCTTATTCTCTTGCTTACAGACTTATTTTATTGTCGTATCAAAATAGATACCAGATTTTCTTATGCCAACAATGTAAACAAGCGTCGCCAACGGAACTATTTTTGCCTTATAAATAATTAGAATAAGTCTGTTGTTTTTTGACAGTCGTGATTGCCCACCATTGAAAAACTAATGAATAATACATACTTTGACAAAAAGAAGGAACTTTTTAGACCTAAAAAACAATGAAAAAAGTAGTGAAGGCCGAATGGTGAACTTTTAACATATCACCATCAATAAACAAACAGAGTTTCTCGGCTTAAACTAAACCAGCGACGTAGAAGCTGGGGTACCTGGTCCCCTGAGATGAAATAATTCCTACGCCACTGGCCTTTTCGGGTAAAAGAACTGCATTCCATAAAATACTGTTCCAATTTGTCTCTTAAGAAATTTTTATCATCCATGTTAGATTATTCGTTTTTTTTTAAATCACAACTAGTAATTGTGGAACCAATCAATTTGAGTAAAATTCTTATTATTTCACTTCTGAAATGATCTGCCTTTTTCCTCAAAATTCATTAGCATTTCGTATTATGCGACCTCAACAAAGCAGTTATCACAAATCGTTAGCAAACTCAGACATGAAGTATGATGATACAGAAAGCTTTCAACACTGTCCGTCCAAAGAGTCAGAGAATATTTGTGGCGTAGAGGAGGTCACTTTTAACACCTCCTTTACGTGTTATGTTCTACTAAATTTAGCAATAATTTTAATTCTCATTAGCTTTATTTATTTATTTATTTTTGAAATAAACGTTTCCTTTAATTTGAAGTTTTTTTCTTTATACAAGGTGTTTCAGTTTATTGTTGCATAACTTTAAGATTCGATAGAACTTTTAAAATTAATGCATAAAGTCTATATAAACATGGGTCGAAAAATGCGTGGCATCCGAAATACAGGGTTTAAATTTACTTTCTAAAATAGTTTTTTTTAAATATTTCGAACAATATTTGATGTGTAACAAATTGGTATACAAGGGTTTTTTGGTACGACAAAACGAACCATCGGCATAGTTTTGCTGTAGCCGCTAGAGGGCGCTCTCTACTGTGCCTGTAGTGTATTAAAATGACCGACAATTTTTCCTTAGTGCAATTTTTGGTTTTTTTAACAAAAAAACTGATTCCTCGCACTTTTCAACATAAAAAAGCTCTCCTGTGAGTTTTCGTTATAGTTAGCCGTTTTTGAGATATTTCAATTTTTAAGGTTCGCTGCATTTTTAATTATTTATGGGAAAATAATATTTTTTTTACATTTTCGATTTGGGCATTACAAGTAATTAAGATAATCGTTTAGATTGTGTTTTTAAACACAGCAATAATTCCTAACTCCAAATAAACACAAACAAACAGAATATTAATTTGTTTAATTTTCCAATATTATTTTTAACCAATTAAATTACTTATTTACATCTTAAATGCTATTGGATAGTGAGGACAAACATACAAAATGTAAAGTAGTTGCTCGAAATGTAAACCCAATTGTTCAATACACAATTCACATCTACGAATGATCGAACGTGGTATAGCATTATTCAAATAAGGCCTTATTTCATCACATGCATTCCTGATTCTGTCTATTAGAATTTCTCTTGTGGTTACGGGAGTCTGGTATACTTTTTCTTTTAGAAATCCCCACACAAAGAAATCTAATGGATTTAGGTCAGGGGATCGTGGAGGCCAGGCGACTGGTCCTCCACGGCCGATCCATCTTTCTGGATAATTTTTGTCCAGCCAGTTTCTAACTATTCTCGAATAATGAGCTGGATAACCATCAAGCTGGAACCAGGCCAATCTTCTTAAATCTAACATAACATCATCCCACATATTTGCATGTTCAGCCTTTAAAAATTCCAAGAAGGTCGCAGCATTTAACCTTGCAGGCAAAAGGTAGGGTCCAAATAGTCGATTACGGTAGATACCAATCCACACGTTCACACTAAATTTATGCTGAAAATTTCTTTCCCGAACTGCATACGGATTTTCATGCGACCAAATACGTTGATTATGAAAATTTACCACTCCACGTCTAGTGAAGCATGACTCATCGGTCCATAAAACGTTACTTAAAAACTCCCTGTTATTATCAGTTCTATCCAGAATCCACTGACAAAATGTGATTCTTCGTTCTCCGTCCCCTGGTTGTAGTCCTTGCACAGGTTGCAAATGGTAACGACGTCTATGGTCATTTCTAAGAACACGGTGAACATGGCTTGCTGGAATTCCCAAGGCACCAGAAACTCTCCTTACACTTGTCGGATCTCTATCAAACTCACGCAGAATCATACGGGTAAATCTGCGCTGACGAACATTTATGTTTTGATCCCTTTGGAGATTTCCAAAACCATTTTCAATTATTTGGCGATGCACTCTTATAAATATAGAGCGAGTTGGATGTCGTCTGTTTGAAAATCTTCGTGCGTATTCTCTGGCTGCTTCTGTTGCTTTCCATGTACAAAGCCATACACAAAATGAATATCCGCTAACTCTTGATTGGAGAATAAAAATAGCATTTTTATAAAACTTACAAAAAAAACAGGTAAAAGAAACTAAACTTCGTGCATTCACAATTGCAAAAAAAGGTTTCAGGTTTCAACAGATAACAAAACTAACTGTCAACTAATTGACATTTAACCTTATTCTGCTTTCAATTCCAAAAATATTTGCAGGCACAGCCTACTTCTAAAAATTATCGAGATACTGACTGTTTAACGTTATTTTATCATAAATAATTAAAAATGCATCGAACCTTAAAAATCGAAATATCTCAAAAACGGCTAACTATAGCGAAAATTCACAAGAGAGCTTTTTTATGTTGAAAAGTGCGAAGAATCAGTTTTTTATTTAAAAAGCAAAAACTTGCACTAAGAAAATTTTTTCGGTCATTTTAATACACTACAGGTACAGTAGAGAGCGCCCTCTAGCGGCTACAGTAAAACTATGCCCATGGTTCGTTTTGTCGTACCAAAAAAACCCTTGTATACCAATTTTCACTGTTATACATCAAATATTGTTCGAAATATTTAAAAAAAACTATTTTAGAAAGTAAATTTAAACACCCTGTATTTCGGAAGCCACGCATTTTTCGACCCATGTTTATATAGATTTTATGCATTAATTTTAAAAGTTCTATCGAATCTTAAAGTTATGCAACAATAAGCTGAAACACCCTGTATATAAACAAAAATGAATATGCCGGCAAAACCAGTGGCGTGCACAGGAAAGGTTTAATCAATGGTAAACTTTGACGCTACTGACTGTAGATAAGACACGCATGTTATCCAATTAATGTTGTGATAAGGTGCCATAGTTTTCTTTACATGCCATACAGAGTTTCCAATATCAGGATTCACGGTGTTTTCAGAATAGGGGAGGCTAAACCTTTACAGAGAATATTTTAGGATTCCACCTTAAATATTCAAACCTAAATATCTCCAAAACTAGTGATCTGACAAAAATTTCTTAGGAGACAAAATTTATGGAAATTTGTATGGTATTTTATAAAATGCACATCTTTTCTCCGAAAAGGCGAGTGGCGTAGAAAATATTTCCTATTAGGGGTTTAGGTGCCCCAGTTTCTACGACCCTGGATTAGTTTCGACCAGGAAACTCTGTGTGCTTAATGCTTATGATATGCTCACTACACGTCTCAAATCTTTACTCAGTATCTAACACCGGCTCGTGGATATAATTTTTCTTCGATTTCGTAAATAAAACTTCATCACTGTATCTATTTGGGGAGCATCTTTGAACCCATACTTATAGGAACTTTTTTCTGTTATTTTTGTATCTACTTTTTACCCAAGACATATTGGCACATCTTTCTGAAACACGCTGTATAGTTTCTGAAAATCTCTTCAGCGTTCATGTCTACAGCTCATACAAGTCCGTTAAAAATTGAAGTATCGGAACAGAAGGAAGCCTACTTTGTGCCACTTCCGGTACACTAACCCCTATATTTAGTCGCAACAGACGGACGATTGAACTGGTGTTGTTTTCACCTTGCTGGACATTCCCCTGTCTGCCTGTGACCTACTTCCGTCTTATTGTTGCACTTACGTAACGACGCAGAAAGGTGGTTACAAGCTGACTTTTCAAGAAAAAATGACGCACCTGCTTAGCTCGCGTTATTAAATTCATATCGGTATAATGTATGCAAGAGAGGACACTTTTATTAAGGGTACGCAGATATTTTGGTCATGTGGATTTCAACAATTGATAGCAATGATGCTATGCTATGATGCTCCAGCGACTCGAATAAATAATAATAATAATAACAATAATAAATAATAATAACAATAATAAATGACCTTTATTTTACCTGGCGGGTTTCATCAGCAGAAGCTGCTTTTCAGAAACAGAACCAACCAGCATCCGTAGCCCATGCATGGAATGTCAAAAACAGAAGGGGAATCAACAGGGTGCTTAACAAAACCATGCTTAGAAATAACAGAAAAAAAATAGCTGGCAGAAGATATAGGAATTAAAAGCAACCATACTCGTATAAAAAACACAAAAAACGAAAATAGGCAAGTGAGAAAATATTCACAAACAAACAAATATATGATTAAAATGACATAAAAATACGTGTTACATGTTATTGAAGGCAGAGAGCTTACGTTTTCTTTTAAAGCGGGACCCAGGTAGAGTTTTCAAAGCTTGAATTAATTTATTGTACTGGGTGGGCCATAAGAGTGTTGACGATTTAAATCTTAAATTTCTCGGAAAATGTATTGAAGTATACTTACAAAACAGCAGGAGTATCCTATTTTTTGTTTATTTGATTGGGCCGTTGAAGAACACGCATCTTTCCATGGTTGTACAGTTTTTTAAAATATGGGCGAGTTTTAATCTTGACCCTATAATTTAAACACACTTAAAATGATAATCTAAATAACGTGAAGTGCAGCACACAAAAAATTCTAGAACATGCTAAAAAAAGACAAAGTGACGCTACCCAGAAGTTTCTTATTTGAATAATAATTTGACTCGAGTGTGAGAGTGAGTGTGACGTCACACGACACCAGCTACCATCGCTATCACAGCGATGCGCCCGCCGCGCACGCTTCGCGCCTTTTAGAAACATTGCTCGCCAATCGAAACATGACACTCTACGACAACAATAAATAATTGATATTTTTTACCTAGTTAGTCAAGTCAAAAACAGTTTACGAACGCATTAGGTATGTTTATCAGACACCCAGTTAAGAAATGTTTCAATTTTGGCTACAGCTAACTGCAGTTTTAACAATTATGTGATATAAAACATACATCTTTAGTATCTTATACCGAAGTAACCATCAAGACAAAACCTAAATGAGAAAGCACTTTTATAAGCTATAAAGAAGTTGAATACATCTTGTTGATATGATTTTTGAACATCCTGGAGATCGACCTATACAGGATGTTTGCCGATGCCGATAGTCTATCTGATATTTGTCTACTTCTGTAAATAATCAGGTGTGAACAGGTTGGCTCTTGCATTGACCGCAACCCATGTATGTAAGTCACATCGTAATGCACAGTGGGGAACCCTTATCATGAAACCGTTTTCAAAAACAAAATTTCAACATGCGTATTTAAGAAACTCATCCATCGTGTTACGACAGAAGAATACTTCAAATCGAAATGAGCACTTGAATCACTTTGGTGGAACCAGATCACGTAAAATCTTCACAGCCATGAACTTTTCATATATAGGTGTCCTATCAGCTGAAGGCAATTTGAGTTTCACGAAACGGGTTTCGTCTTCCTTGATTTGTTTTGGAGGCAATTGAATTTAACATACACTAAAAAGAGGGTTCAAGTTTAGCTATCTAGGATTCAGGATCGTCACACCGACAAACGTGAAACGAGTGTCTGAGGTTGAACGAACGTCACCTGACAGTGCGCGCAGACATAATGTGCAATCCGTTCTTTCTTTAAAAATGGCACTCGTAATATCAAAAGCAATGATGGCAAGTAGACCCCACTATGCAGCCAGAATCGTCCGCTATCTATCGGTCACATTTCCAACAAATGGCAGCTATGCGCTCTCGCAGTGGTCGATTCTGATGGTAGATGGCGCTTTGCCATGCTTATTAAGATAGACCGTACCTCCGGGATGGAGGATAGTTGCGATGCTTTCCTTTATTGTCCCAGAGACGAGAGACCAAGCCTAGACGATACTGATGAAACACGAAACAGCTGTCCGCGGTTGGCAGTCTTTTGGTCGGATGGAGGAAAGCTTGATGTTTAGTAAATGATGTAAGTATCGTCAAAGTATCCGTCACACAATTCTTAAAATACTCTTCTTTTGAAGGAAACCGACTCCCCTTAAGTCTCAATCCTATTCGACATTGGCACAAACAAGCATATGCAACCTAAAAAGCGTAGCACGCGCCTGATGATCCGCACATTGCACGCATCGCAAAAATGGAACGAGCGACCGACCGACAGATGTTTTCGCGAGCTCGCGACGCTTGGATTTATCCCAATTTCCAGCACCTGCAACCTCGGTACCTACAGCTGCCTCTGCCGCATTTGAGCAAACACGATTTCTCTCCGAAGGCACTGCGTGGTACTGATCGACGATTGCAATATCTTTCCATTGCCAATTTCAAATAAGAGAAGTCATTTTGTAAGAAAGAACCGTTTTATAATGGAGGCAGAGAAGCTTTATTCATGAATGTAAATTGTATCACAAAGTAAAATATGAAGATGCTTTCACGTTTCAACATAGTCACAATAACTATTTAGACATTTGTCAAGTTGCGGCACCAGCTTTTGGATGCTATCGCTCAGAGGTCTAGAACACTCCAAAAGCTGGAAAAAAGTCAAAAAATGATGTAATGGAAATGAATGGAATTCATCATGAATTTGAAAGTCGATACTTGGAATAATTAGTAGTAGTTAGTTAAACCGTATTTCAAGGATTCGACGCTATATTGGATACGCCATATTGAATTTCTGTTTTTTGACAGCAGACGTCAAAGATCGCTGCTGCCTGACCGCTAAACCAGCTACTTTAGACAGCAACGGTGGTGTAGTGGTAGACTTTATGGGTCTACTCATCAGTCGGCGTGAGATGCGCGGATTCGAATCCCGTCCCAAATGCATTTTTCTCTTGGCTATGGATGTCGTGATTGTGCGTCGATGATAGACGGTATCTGACTGCCGAACGTGGAGGTACCACCCGGCGGATGTCTCAGGCGGGCACAGAATGGGTGCATGTTACATTCACAAGTGTTCCATCGCTAGAGGCCGTGTAACGTCCTCCCTTTAAGCTGTATCTCCCTATAACCTCATGGTACCAACTGCTATTCATGCCTGCCTGGAGGTTTAAGTATAAAAAAGTAACTGTTTCATTTATGAGCTCATCATTTTCCAAGTCCTTTCCACCAAGAAATCCCTTACGGTTTGGAAAAAGATGAAAGTCTGGTGGTTCTGAGTCAGGGCTGTACGGTAGGTAATCCAGTGATTTCCAGCATTATGTTTGTTCAATCAAGGGCAAGTAAACAAAATCTACTATATAGCTAGAATCCTCACATGGTGACGGGTCTGTTAAACGCGAACTGAGATCCATCAAATAGCTGCTGGTGATAGTTGGCACTTTGCGCTTTCTTATTTCAATAGACTGTATGTCCTGGATAGATGATGTTTTCGTTGATTGTCCCAGAGACGATAGACCAAGCCTAAATCCATGCTGATGGTAAGCCAAGAAGCCCGAAACAGCTATCCATGATTGGTTATCTTTTGCAAGCATCATGTTCAGTTGAAAAAGTTTTCCAGTTGCTTCTGAGTTTTTGCCGCAACGTGACGCCGAGCGTTGTCGTGAAGCAGAACGACGACGCTAGAGAGAAGGTCCCGCCTAAACTTCAATAATAATCACTTACTTCATCAAGCTGCCTGTGGATTTCAGCAGGACGAACCTCTTTTGCGTTTAAAAACCGATTTACTGAGCGCGGTTCACAATCGGCCGGTTAAGTGACAGACATGGCGACAAACAAAGCAGTATAATCACTAAGCCAACACCGACAGAGAGGTGAAATGGAATGGCGGTGTAGTGAGAGACTGGCCAAGAGTGTCCGAGATTGAACGGACGTCACGTGACAAGATGCTCGGACACGATGCGCGATCGGTTCTTGCCGTAAAAATGGTCCTCGTAATGCATCAATACTGGAAACTATGTGGTATCTGGGGGCACATTTCTCAGAATATACAGAGTGTTCCATTTTTGATCGACATATCAAAGTTGATTTTTTTTTATGGAATGCCCTACAAAAAAAGAAGATTGATATAAAATACTTATGGGTTTTGAAATATGCTATTGGGTATTTTATGTGAAGAAACGTCAAAGTCTGACAGCCTGCATATTTCCTAACTTGACAGGTAAAGTAGTGAATTTTTTTATTACAATCACATATTTTATCCTAATTTATCCATCCACACAAATTGTAACTTTTCTCAAGAAAAGTAGACGGAACACCCTGTATATTTCAACATTTTTGGATTGCAATTTCCAAAAGCTTTTCCCTGAGATAAAGGCCAATGGTGTACATGTATGAAGTTTTTGAGTAGTTTAAAATTGTGTGTAAATGGCACAAAATCGAATTGCCCATGAAAATAAAAGATAAATAGCAGATTTATAATTAAAAATAACATTCTTAATTTATAAAAACTAAAAGTTTTCCCTAGAATTAAAGCAAGTCCCTGCTTATGTAATGAAAATGAACATTTAAGGATGGATTTTGTAGTCAGAATGAAATTTGTTATATTTTGTATGTTTAAAAAGTACGACAAAAACAATAATTTGAATCGTAAATTATAAAAGGGACACATGTAGTAAAAGTACATTGATTAGCGAACTTAAATAGACTTAATTTGACAAATAAATCACATGGTCATAATGTCAATAGACATATCAAACATATTAATACATTTTAAATACAACTGAATTAAATTCAAAAAGAAAACATAAACTCACAATAGGAGAGCCCTGAAGCTGTCACGGAACAGACAATCAAACAAATTGTAAATTGTAGAACGCCTTTATGACTTCCTTGATTTTCTTAGTCTTTTCTCTCCTTAAAGGCTGGGGTATTTCTAGATTTCTACTTTTCCGCGTCAGTGCTTTCTTATTGTGGGAAATTTCACGCTGATTAAACAGATGATATAAATCAAAAGCATGAACAAATTGATGCAAATAAATATTTGTAATATAACCTCTAAATGGAGCGTTGACACTGAAGGACAGGAAAAGCTATGAAAATCAAGAAGGCCTTGAAGGCGCCCTACAATGGTATAAACGACTGAGGATACGGCGGTAAGGTATCCCTTTGATATCCAATCTAAAATTAAAGTATTTGAATGAATAATAGCTTATTTTTTTCATATATCGCAGCAGCCGCGCAATCAGAAGCCTAAATGCCGGAATACCGCGGCTGCTATGATGATCCCAAAGAAATTTTGTTAATACAATTTTTGATCTGCCTACGGTTAGTAGAACTGGGAAAAGCTTCCTCTTGCAGATTGTTCCACAGTATCGACACGAAGTTCGACACGGTTAGTATGGGACGCGAAAGTCAGGCGGGCCTGTCTGGCAGGCACATCGCGCGGCGGCATCATGGAAGAGAGCTCTGCGGAGCAAAGCCCGTTGATGTAGCGGTAGAAAAGAGCTAAATCGCCGACGGCCCGCCGGTGCGAAAGAGTCCCGAGACTGTCTGTTAGAGATGTTTCCTTATATCCAAAGATTTTTTGTGGTAATTTGTAACGAATCCATTACTTGTATTTTGTTTCCATGGATGATCTGATATTCTTATTTCCTTGTTATGCAGTTTCCAAGCCTATTAACTAAATAATTATAACTGCAAAATAATCTTACAAGACTCATCGACATTTACAAATGAAAAAAACTCTTCCATTTTTTTTGTGAGAAGAAACCATTTTGTTTTTTTGGCCACCATGTAGTGATCATTCACAGAATTGGAAAAAATTGGTGGAATTGAGTATAGTAAAAAAAATTTGACACGAAATTAATTCACTTCTTCAGTGAGAAAAAACCATTTTGTTTTTTGGCCACCTTGTAGTGATCATTCACAGAATTGAAAAAAATTGGGGCAATTGA